GGGCCTCATGGGGCCTCCAGGGACCTCCTGGGAAGGATTCGTGCCCCAGGAGAGGCCCAATCTACAGGAACAGACGTACATAAAACATTGCGGATTGGAGCCACAGGAGAAGGGCAGGCTATTGGAACACACGTAAAACACCAAGTACTCGTGCCCCAGGGGAGGCCCAATCTACAGCAACATTCGTAAAACATTTAGGATTGTATACAAAGGAGAAAAACAACTACCCTGCGACGTACCCAACCCACGTGTATCAAATGGCAAGAGGAGTATGCCAACATTAGCAGGAACAACGACAGTGTAGACGCGGCGATTTGCTGCGCAAGCTACATGGGATGCGCATGCGTTGCACGATTCACAGGACGACGATCGAAAGAACGAGGCTTGAGGCCCCAGGATCGAAGAAGAACGGGCACGGGAACGAGGGGTAGGAGAGGGATGGAATGGATGGCGGGGGGGGCGAAAGGCCATCGCGGAAGCAGCAGCGTGCATGGAGAAGGTGAGGCGGGGAATAGGACGACGATGAAAGTAGCGGGAGGAGACAGAAGACTGCCGCGTTTCTCAAGTGCGAGCCAAACCCGCAGCGCTGCCTGCGCCATGTCGTCGCAGAGTTCCACATGATAAAACTTGTTTAGTGTGCAAGGAACGAGCGAGGCGTAGCTCGCCCGCTAGCTTCTCCGCCTCCTTCCCGCGCATTTCAGCGCGGGAGCTGAACGCTCGCAGGCGCGCCGCCAGGTCTGCGGGCGGCCCGCGGGAAAGAAACTCAAGGCCGGGGTCGCGTATCATCAATCGGTTGTCCATCGTCCAAAGTTGCACTGGCGACGTACTGGTTGAACGCGGAGCGAGCAGCATCACGCGCGTGCCTGAACGCCACGCAGGTACAGTGCACGCGCGATTGGGACTTCAGGTCGATCACGCGCGTCTCCACCAGGCTTGGCAACACCACGCGACTGAGGATCTCACTGCGGTCTGCCATGCTGCTGTCCGCGAATGCAATGCGCTGCCTGCAAGTAAGGCGGCGGCGTCCACTTGTCTCAGAAGATGTTCCCGCGGGCCCGAAGGGCGACCGCCAGCTCGAGCCGCGGCGCCGGCAGGCCAGATAAGGATCATGCAACAGCAAAGACGATGACAGAGCAACGAGGTATCGGCGAGTGCATGACCGGCCTCCGTTTCCTGCACTTCTTTCCTGTAGTTCCCCTAGCTCATCGAGCTCAGCAGATGTTTCTGCGGGTCCGAAGGACGACCGCCAGCTCGAGTCGCAGCGCCACGTGGCACGAACCGCAGAGCAAGGGCACGCGAGCATTGCTCGTGGTCAGAATCAGAGTCCCCGTGGTGCCTCACTCCGCTGGCCACCCACCAGCAGCCCTCGAAAGTGGCGACAGTTTCACAGATCGCAGCCGCCCAGGGGTGGCGAGGTCTAATCTGAGTCCCCGTGGTGCCTCACTCCGCTGGACCCACCAGCAGCCTCGAAAGTGGCGACAGTTTCACACAGGGATGGCGAGGTCTAATCTGAGTCCCCGTGGTGCCTCACTCCGCTGGACCCACCAGCAACCCTCGAAAGTGGCGACAGTTTCACAGATCGCAGCCCCCCAGAGATGGCGAGGTCTAATCTGAGTCCCCGTGGTGCCTCACTCCGCTGGACCCACCAGCAGCCCTCGAAAGTGGCGACAGTTTCACAGATCGCAGCCCCCCAGAGATGGCGAGGTCTAATCTGAGTCCCCGTGGTGCCTCACTCCGCTGGACCCACCAGCAGCCCTCGAAAGTGGTGACAGTTTCACAGATCGCAGCCCCCCCCAGAGATGGCGAGGTCTAATCTGAGTCCCCGTGGTGCCTCACTCCGCTGGACCCACCAGCAGCCCTCGAAAGTGGCGACAGTTTCACAGATCGCAGCCCCCCCCCAGGGATGGCGAGGTCTAATCTGAGTCCCCGTGGTGCCTCACTCCGCTGGACCCACCAGCAGCCCTCGAAAGTGGCGACAGTTTCACAGATCGCAGCCCCCCCCCAGGGATGGCGAGGTCTAATCTGAGTCCCCGTGGTGCCTCACTCCGCTGGACCCACCAGCAGCCCTCGAAAGTGGTGACAGTTCCGCAGATCGCAGCCCGCCAGGGATGACGTGAAAGGCAAGAGAAGAGAAGAGGAGGAGCGAAGAGAGGAGGAGAAGGCAAGCAAGAGAGGAGAGGAGGAGGGAAGAGAGGGGGGGGCGGGAGGAGGAGAACGGAGACCGCAGTGCTCTATTCAAAACGAGTGCCCAACGCAGGAGGGTTGGGAATTTATATAAACATACGTATAACATCAAGGATTCGTGCTCCGGGTGAGGCCCAATCTGTAGGAGCACGCGTTAAGCACATGGGATTGGAACCACTCCCGTTGCCTTCTGAGGCCTCCTGCTCCTGGGGCCTCTCGGGGCCTCCTGTTGCCTTCAAGGGCCTCCTGGCGCTCCTGATGTGGCCTCCTGCGGCCTCCTGACGTGGCCTCCTTGGGCCTCCTGGAGCCTGCTGAAGCCTCCCGTGGCATCCAGGGGAAAACATATGCACACGAGTCTGGCCACCCAAACAGGCAAACCGATCGAGACATCCTCGTAATCTGGGCCCCCTGGGGCGCGATAGCCAGAGCCTCGCACGAGACTTCCTCAGAAATTGCTCCGAAAACGAAAGGTGTTCGCGACCAAACAGGCAAACCGCCCGAGACATCCCCGCAATCTGGGTGCGAACAGAGGCCGTGAGATACCCCTGGCGGCCCCCCCTCAGGAGGCGTCTCGCACGAGACATCCTCAACATCTGCTCCGAAAACGGAGGATGTTCGCGACCAAAACAGGCAAACCGCTCGAGACATCCCCGCAATCTGGGCGCGAACGGAGGCCGTGAGATACCCCCTGGCGCCCCCCCTTAGGAGTGCGAAAACCAGCAAGCCGCTCGAGAAATCCTCATCATCCACTCATCGTCATCATCATCAGCATCACCACCATCACCATCACCATCACCATCACCATCACCATCACCATCACCATCACCATCACCATCATCATCATCATCATCATCATCACCATCATCATCATACTCACACATCGCTCACAATCACCATCAGACTCACATCATACTCTCACCAAACCATGGTCATCATCATGACACTCATCATCATCGTCTAGTGCAGAGAGGGAGGGGGGAGGGGAGGGATGATGATGAGGAGGCCGGCGCGGTCAGAGAATACCAAGAATCCCAATCGATTGGATATGGGGAGAATTATAAGGATAGTCCGCAAACTGTTTTGACAATTTTTGTATATTCCTCCTGTCGAGGGACACGCCCGACTTAAGTCTGGTGGCGACTGGAAGGCCGGAGCCGGGGGGGGAGAAACCAACTAACGGAAATGTTTGGTCGTCCCCATGGCGGCCAGTGGCGCGCCCCAGCGCGCACGCAGAGGACATGATGCATCTTCCTCACATTGCGCTGGGCGCTGTTGGTCGCTATTGGGGCGCCATTCGGGCGATATTCCGTGCTACTGGACGCTGTTTAGCGCCGGTGATTGTTATGTGGCGCTGCTCGCCGATAGAAATCCAATAAAAGGCGAACGGAAACCGATGTAATTTACTAGCTAAAAGGGGGCACGGGCGAGGGCAGAAAGAGAAAGGGAGAAGTGGAAGACGACAAAGGATGGCGAGCTGGGAGCGACGGGAGCGCCGTAACAGACGGGGGGCTGGGCGCGGAAGGGCGAAAGGGGAGGGGGCCGCAGCTTAGAGGACCGGATGAACAAAAAAACGCAGGGGACGTTATATTACCCAATTTCAAGGTCGACGTTCTCAAACCGTTTGGGGCGCCGTTTCTGATCCATGCGTGGGATCGGCCCGTGGCCCAGCCGCTGGAGTTCTTTTCGTCTTCAATGCGTTATAATACGTGCCTTGCCTGTCTACCGCTTCCGCCGGACCTCCCAAGAGCCCACGAAAAGGGCAATGGCTGCGCAAATGGCAGCATCCCAGCGGCCGCGAGGAGGACGAGGAGGAGAGAGGACGAGGGCGAGGAGAGAGAATCTGAAAGAGAGAGAGAGAGAGAAGGAGAGAAAGAAATATAAAAAAATGAGAGAGAGAGAGAGAGGGAGAGGAGAAGGAGGAGGAGGAGGAGGAGGAGGAGGAGCTCTTTTGTTCCTGAATCGTCGTCTCGGCCACCCCGCCATCGCGCACAGCACGGCGCCACTCAACCACGGCCTCGACGGACTTTTCCTTAGCCTCCTTTCTCGCTTGGATCGCAGCTCCCTGCTGCGCTTTCGCCACAGTTTCCGCCTTCACATTCCCCGCAGCTTCCTGCTTCCAGCGAGTCTCCTTCTCATTTGCAAAAGCTTTGAAGTTGCCCAGATTCTGCCTCGCGTGCGCCTGCAACTGGATCGGGTACCCTGTTATCGCGCGCTTGGTCCGAAGGGTCAGGTCGCGAAACTCGGCCGACGGAGAAACGTATTTCACCTACCCGACAACATTTTCATGGGACTCGATTTTCTTCAAGGTCACCTCCTCAAGTGTGGCAAACGCGCCAAAGTAAATGCTGATGTTTTCTTCCTGGACGGCCGCAGGCCGAAGAGGAAGAAGCGAGCAGCAGCAAGTTGAGGGACCGAAAAGAGGCGATGTGGATCACCATCCCTTGCGCCACGTACTACACCACGAGCCGTCCGATCACGATCAACATGTTGTCGGCCCAGTGGGCGATCACGACCTTTCGCCACGGGATGGTCCGCGCCTCGAGAGTCGCCACCAACAACAACTCTGCACACACACACACACATCGGGTCCCACACGGAAATCCCCATCTTGCCTGTCCACGATACCAAGAAAACCCTTCAGCGAAGCACCATCATCACACAAAGAGTCGCCATGTACATCCGCCGCCACCGCTTCCGCCCCAGCCGCAAGTGCCCCCGCCGGCGCCACAGCCACCCCAGCCGCACCACCGAAGCCGCCACCAGAGCCCTCCACGTCTTCCTGCCCGACGTCGTAGCTGTCATTGTAGAACACCTGGTCAATGATGTCCACCTGCTCCTCTTTCGTTCCGTCGCCACCGCCCGCGTAATGCAAAAATCATAGCCGTCATCGAAGAGCACATGGTCAATGATGGCCTCCTGCCCCTCCTTCGCCCCGTCGCACCCGTCCACGCAGTGACAATGTCGTAGCCGTCATCGTAGAGATCTTGGTGAATCATGGCCTCCTGCTCCTCTTTCACCCTGTCGCCACCGTCCTCCTGGCGCTCCGTCTCGAAGAAAATTGCCTCCTTCTTCTCCATCGCCCAGCTGTCGCCGTCATCGTAGAGCACCTGGTCAATGACGATGTCCTCCAGGTCCTCCCCTGCACCGTCGCCGCCGTCCTCTTCAAGAACCTGGTCGGTGATGGCCTCCTGCTCCTGCATCCCGCCGACATCACCGTCCACATAGAACACCGTGCCGAAGAAGAAAGCCTCCTGCTCTTCCTTCGTTCCGCCGCAACCGTTACCGTAATGCACCTGATTTCAAAGGAGTATAATGCTGCTGCTCCTCGTAGAGCACCTGGTCGATGACAATCTCCTGCTCCGCCCTCGCGCTGTCGCCGCCGTCCGCGTTGAGAGCCGTGCCGAATACGATGGCCTCACTATCCTCTATCGTCCCGACGTCGCCGTCGTGGTAGTGCACCTGGTTAATGATGAAGTCCTGCTCCTGCTCCTCTGCGCCCTCGCAGCCGTCCTCGACGAGAACCTTGTCGATGATAGTCTTCTGCTCCTCGTTCGTCCTGCCGTCGCCGCCGTGGTCGGAGAAGTCTCCCAGCTCCTCGTTCGTTTCGTCGCCACTGCCATCAGAGTGCACCTGGCCCACGAGCGCCGCCTGCACCGGTCCCCCTTGCAGATCAGCCACAACCTCGGGCCAGAGAGCACGAACAGGGCAAGCCTGAAGATCCCCAACACCATCCTAAGGAAACGAACTTTATACAGCGACGCTTTTTTTTTCCGACCCTGCGCTGAACTTCGCATAGGAACGCGGATCCTGGTGTATACGGGATCCTGGTGTATACATTTCTCGTTGTTTCCCCGGGACAACGGGGAAAAAGTATACCCAGACCACCCCGACGTCGTCCCCGACCCTCGAAAAGTCGTAGGATTGAAAAAACGGCCCGCCACTGGTCATGTATATGTTCCAGTTTCCGACATCCCGGCGTCCATCGCCACATTGAAGGTTCGCATCAACACGCCCTCCAACTCCTGCGAGGGTGCCAACGAGTATGCCGACCAGCGTTGGCCCGCCGAACGATCCACAGCATGTGGCGGATGACCGGCTGCGAAAATAGATTGCTTTCTTCGGCTCACCTCACTGCAGTCCGCAAAGCACGGGTGGAGGGGGCACCACGAACCATCTCCAATCCACACTGCAGTAGACGCCCACGCCTGAGGTCCGCCATCCGCAAGGCCACCTCGTCAGGCCGAGGGGAATAACGGGCCGCACCGACGTGGCGGTCCCGCAGCCGCCCCACCGCTGAGCAGGCCCCCTGGAACTCGGAACAGGATCAAGTCGAGATACGAGCGGCACGCCCATCGACTCTCAAGGCCCCTATCACGTAGTTGAGCACCATGTGGCCGAAGGGCGGGAACACCTCCAAGTGGCTTGCGCACGATCGACACGTAGCACATCCTGCGAGAGAGCGGAAGCAGAGGGCCATGCGGGGCGGGTGCGGCGGGGCCGATGTGATCGAGAGATGGGAAGGCCGCAAGATGACGTGAGCCAAAATGGCTACGGAAGGAGGAGGAGGAGGAGGAGGAGGAGGAGGAGGAGGGGGAGGAGGAGGAGGAGGAGGAGGAGGAGGAGGAGGAGGAGATGCAGAAAGAGGAGGAGGGGGAAGAAGGCGGAAAGGAGAAAAGGAGTGGAGACCACAGGGCCCCATGCAAAACGAGAACCCCACCAGAACGGACGACGTCTGGGGCAAAGAAGGGCCCGGCGGGCAAGGAGTATAGGGCGGGGCGCAGGTGCGCTACGCGGGCCCAGCCGACGTCGGCCTCTGGCCAGGCGGGCTGGCAGTGACTGACGGAGGGCGAAGGAATCCGCCACCGTACCCCCTGGCACGTCGAGGCGTGCCAGAATGCCAAGCGCTGCCTGGTAGGATTTGTGTCCTCTTCGGAAGGAACCCCCACCCCCTCCAGGTTTCACCTCGCCGCGCGCACGGGCCATACTCCCGGGGGGGCACAGGGCGGCCATGGCGCCTACCTGGGGCTCTCCAAAGCTTCCATGACGGTCCAGGAGGCCCCCAAGGCCGTCCAAGAGGGCCCCGAATCGCCGGACGATCCCTCGGAGACGCCCAAGGTGGCCTCAAGATGGTGCAAGAGCCTCCCAAGGCGCCCCGGGAGGCCTCCAAGAGGTCTCCCAAGAGGGCATGGTTTCCAACGCGTTTTCGACAAATGATGGTGTTCTGGCCTTTTCGGCTTTCCGACGCTCCAAGACCGCCCAAGTGGCTTTCAAGACAACCCCGACACTCCCCGAGAAGCCTCCAAGAGGGCCCCAAGACGGCCCAAGAGGCGCCCAAGACGGCGCAACAGGGCCTAAGGACGGCCCCAAAAAGGGGCCCCAGAGAGGGAACACGAACCGAAAATCCTAGCATTCTGCCCCAAGGGGCTCCCAGCCAAGAGGCCCGAAGAGGCCCCCAAGAGGCCACAAAATGGTCCCAAAGAGGCTTCAAAACTGCTTCCAACAGGCTCCCGAGAGGCCCCCCACCAAATTCCAACGGACATCCACGATGCTTATAACCCACAGCCCATGCGCGGTAGCGGAACTGTCCGCACGCAGCTGGATCAGGACACGGTGGGACGCACATGGACATACCAATGCTATATGTCCTCCTTGGATGCGTGCGTCCGACCCGAACATATAATCCGCCCACCCTGTCGGCGTGTGTGGGGTCTGTCCGTTGCCGTCGGCAGGGAGCCTTCTTTCGCCCCCTCCTTCCCATTCTCCTCTCCCGTCGGGAGAGAGAACACCCTTCCTCGTTCGGGGAACGGGTTCGCAGCGTGAGGGAATTCCATCCATGTCCTCATTACATCAAAGGGAAGCCCCTTCCCTTTGTCCCTTCCCCCGCGGGAGGGGTCCCCGGGGGGGGAGGTCAGATTCGCATCGCATCAGAGGGTCCTCCTCTCCCACGACGGTCCTTCTCCGGCGCGCCGGTTCTCCTCGGGTCCTCCTCCCCAGTCGGAGAGGAGTCCCCGGGGGAGGAGGGGGGTCAGATACGTATCTGTCCCTGGGGGTCCTCCTTCCCCTCCCCTCCCCTCTCCCACGCTGGTCCTCCTCTGGTCCTCCTCCCCAGGGGGGGGGGGCCCAGGGGGGAGTCCTTTTCCTCCTCCTTCTCCTCCTCCTCCTCCTTATCTCTGCCTCCTCCTCCTCCTCCTCCTCGTCCTCATTCTCCTCCTCCTCCCCCCTTCTGCTCGTCGTCGATGTTTTTCAGGGTCGGTTGCACCGGCTGTCAGGCCTTCACAATAAAACCATCTTGCCGTATATAGCTTTCCGAACGGGATGGTCAGAAAGCGCTCGCCACAGAGATTTCTCGGCGCGCGCGTCGCCCCTGGGGGAGGGGGGGGCGAAGCCACATGGGCGACTTCGGAAGCCCTGCGCCCAAAAACGTGTTCATCTCTTGTGGGGCACATCTTTTACTTCCGCCGCCTTCCACTAAACTTCCGCCGACGGGGGAAGCCTCATTGTACGCCCGCCGGCCTTCCGCCGCCCGTCCGCCACCTTCCGCGTCGGAAGAGATGGCAACCCCTTGGATCCTCGGAGGCAAGGCCCTCTATGGAACGCCTCACGTAAGGTTAGTGTGCTGGGGTGACGCCGATGCAGAACCACTTCCACAACCCGGAGCCGGGCTCACCGGAGGCCACGTCCGAAGGCCGACACTCGCCAAACAGGGCGATGCCTTCTCCCTCCGCCCTCCCCTCCTCCTCACACCGCGTCCTCCTTCGCTGGCGCGCTCGGGGCCCCGGGCCCCGAAATCTCGAGTAGGGGATCGACTACAGAATTCATTCACGCCAGAATTTATTTTCTCGTCAAACTTACAGGTCGAATTCGTAGCATGTTCGCACATCTACGAACGTTCAAGGTATTGTTCGCAGATTCGACGAATAAAGCGATTTCGGGGTAAATCAATTCTGCAGCCGATCCCCGACTCGAATCTCCCGAGGCGAGCGCAATGTCGCTGAAGAGCCCGCCCTCGCCAGGCTCCCAGTGACCTCCGCGGCGTCGTCGCCGTCGCCGCCGCCGCCGAGGATCGGAGGATCCAGGACCGACCCTGGGATCTGGGCGTGGTCAGGAAACGTTCCCTGGTAAATCGTCAGACAGCGGCCCGGGCCGAAAAACAGTCTGGTGGGCACGGGCCGAGGCTCCCTGGGGTCAGATGGAGAACAACGGCGACATCGGAGGCGGGGTGGGGGGCCGATGGGGTCGAGGACGGTGGTCGTCTTCGGCAATCCTTCGGCTTCGCGGGGCCTCCAGCCCTGGGGACCTCTGGAGGCCTCCAGGGGTCATCGTCGCCGCCGTCGGGGTTCGAGGAGGGAGCCAACATCGGCGATCGGAGAGCGATATTCCTTGACGAGCTCGGCCTCTCTGGGCTTCCGCGAACGCCCTGGTCGCCACGGCTAAATGCGCCTCGAACTTCAGGCCGGGACGCACCTCAGCGAAGGTCTGGGAGGCGTCGGAGGACCAACACCTCGAGCGACTCAAAGCCATCGCGCCAGATTCGTATGGTTTGGGTCTTCAGCTTCGGGAGCCAAAAACAAATTCCAGGACGCACGGCTCGCGGCCGTCAAACAAAAACAGCCTGGGGTGAAGAGCCGGGTCCGGAGGAAGAGTCCAAGGACACAAGGCGCCAGGCCATGCATTCGAGGGGCGCGTCGGGAAACTCAGGCTTGCGCAACCGGACCTTGGTAAGGAATCGCATCCGTAGACGAACCCGGGAAGAAGGCGACTTCGGAGAAGGGCGGAGAGAAGGGAGATGTTACACCATGCTGAAACAGGGAGATGCTCACACAACTGCGCCATCTTGCGCACACATGATGCCCAGTGCTGCCACGGCCGACCAGGACGACGATGAGCGGCCAAACATCTTGGGGTGCTTCTTTCGGACCTAGTCAGTTTCCTCAACAGCGACTGATCACACATTGCCGTGGCTTGTTTCCCTGAGGCTGCACGTGTCTGCCTTGGACAAAAGCGGTCAACACATGAGTCGTGCGCTTGATTCACAACCTCCCCGTCGTTCATACCGAGCAAGAGTGTGCAGTTGTTCAAGCCGGTTGATTACACAGTCTGCCAAGCATGTTGCGCACACATTTGCAAACAGTGGGTCTCATCTGATTGCCGGCACTGAGAAGCCACATCTGACCCGCATGACACAACAGCGTGCTGATCACACGGCTTGAACAAGTGAGTAATCAGTGGTGCTCCCCAACTGAAGCCTGCAACCAGATGTTTATAATCTGCGACATTTCGAAACATCTTCAGTCTACTTCGTTCTCGGAATCACTGTCGCGAGATACCAACACCTTCTCTAAACAAAACGTGTTCCTCGTGTGTTTGATGGATTCGCTTGTGGGTCTCCTGACTCCGCCCCTTGAAGATATGTGTTTGCGCTGTTCTGTGCCTTCACGTCAAGGAATTGTGTCGTCCTTCTGTTACCGAAACCTTTCAAACTTATGCGATCAGTGTTCGGGCGCTGCGAGACCAACGCGGTGTCGTGCTCGCACAGAAGTTCTGGGGAGACGGCGCCATCGGGCCTTGCTTGCAGAACCAGTCTGGCCAAGGCGTCGCGCAGAAGTACAGCTCGGACAGCAACGACTAGTGGCCCGACGGGCTTCAACGATGAAAATGGGGATGCACGGTTTCTCCCTACCGCCGTCAGGCGAGTCGCGCGCGCAGCCACTTTGAATGCAAGTGCGCGAGAGATTTGGAAACAATGACGGGTGATAGAGCGGCCCGCGGGAAAAAAAACGAACAGCACTGCGGGCGTGTGCCTACCCTGTCACGACCCTCTCTGGCTGCTGGCCAGAAAATCTTGCGACGAAAGCTCTCGCCTCGGAGCTCACATCTCACACAGCCCCACAACATTACGAGCTTGAAGGCACTGTGTCCCCCCAATGCTCAGATGCGCGGCCACGCCTGCAACGCCGGACGGGTCGCGCCTCGAAGCCGCTGCTTCTTCCGCCATCGCGGGCTG